TACCTCTTTCGCTTCTTTCAGATTCATTATCTTCTTCATACATGCACGTTGTTCGCGACGTCTTGTTAAGAACAGAGGAAGACCTCGCACCGTGCGTGCGCCCGCACATTTGAGACGTCCTATGCCTTGAACGTCGCTTTGACCGCTGGCGAGATCTGCGTGAGCTCCGGGGGCGTCACTCAATATCGAACACTGGCGTAAACGAACGTTTCCCGTACCTTCTATTATTCTTTGCCTCAATACGTTAATTTCTACATATTATGTAAATTGGAATCGAATAAACCTATAAGTACTACAGTCTACTCGTGTATCAATCAACAACAAATTGGTCCTTCGATTAAAAATGAACCAGAAGCATATCGGAAATTAAATCTAAGCATCATTATGGCAGCCATTATGTGTACTTGAAAATACTTCAGAACTAAAAGAATATGCATATGGAGATCCAAAATGGAAAACAGCACTGAGTGAGTTCGTTCCAATTCCTTTCTCATACTTATATATCACCTATCCATTTTCCAGGAATTCAGAATTGTGTCTAATTTCTACTGCATTTTTCGTAAAATTATTTTTAGACATATTATATTATTATTGAGGATAAAACTTTTCATCTACGTTTCGACAATAATCGTAAAATTATTCCTATAACAATTTTCTATAGATAAGCACGTAATAAGCTTATTATTTCATTACATTCATACATGCTGCATGTTGCATATTTATTAGGTGTTCGTTCTTATTACCCACTCATAAAAAAAAAATACTTCTTTTTACTTCTTTAGTTGAAATCGATTTTTGTGAGTAAAGTGTATGATTATTACTTATTATTTGTTTTAATTAAGAGTGTTAAGAATCAAAATGGCCAGTGCTTCCCTTAAAGACCTAATTAAAAAACGTGGAGGCCTTAAAGCCAAACTTACATCATTTAATAATTTTTTGAATCTTATAAAAGATTCGGTTGTCTTGTCTGAGCTACAAAAATCGGAACTAGAATGCCGGCTTAGAAAAATTGATGCGGTATACGACCAATTTGACGCGTTACAGATGGAGATTGAGGCATTGTCGGAGCAGGTTGAGGACGAATACAAGGAACGCCTCCAATACGAAGAACAATATTATTCACTCCTTGCTTTGGCGCGTAGTATGATGAATGCTGCTACTTCATCAACGTCTTCTAGGGCAGGTTCCGTGACAGACGACCACGAAGATAGCTGTGCACCTAAATTCCATCTACCTGTCATCAACGTGCCGCAGTTCAGCGGTGACTTTCAGGAATGGTTGGAATTTCGAGATACGTATCTTTCAATTATCCATAATAATAATAACATCTCAAACGTACATAAATTTCACTATTTACGCGCAGCTTTGAAAGGTACTGCGTCATTAATAATTCAAAGTTTAGATGTAACAGCAAACAATTATCCAATTGCATGGCAATTATTAACGGAGCGATATGATAACATACGTCTTTTAATCAACAATCATATACAAGCCTTATTAAATACGAAAAATATATCCTCTGAAAGTAGTTTGGAAATAAGAAATGTTATTGATGTGATGAATAAAAATTTAAGAGCACTTGCAACATTAGGTGAACCTGTCGATCACTGGGACACAATTATTGTTTATGTAATATCAAAAAAATTAGACCCAGTTACGAATCGGCTATGGGAAGAATACAGATGCAGCTTAAGTTGTAACTCACCAAGTTTACAACAATTCATTAAATTTTTAAACAATAAGTGTGATGTATTGGGATACATTGAATGCGGGAGTAACTATTCCTATTATACATAACGTCAAACACTCAAAACTTCAATCACACCCTTTAACTTATAATAATAATAATTACAATAATTCATTTAGCAAAAAAGAGTTAATAAATACCGACAAGAAAAATTATAATAAAAACATTACATGTCCTATGTGTTCACAAAATCATTTCTTATTTACATGCCCTTCATTCATTAAACTTGATGTAGATTCTCGTATAAAAAAAGCCACCGAAAGTAGAGTATGTACGAATTGCTTACGTCCAGGTCATGTCCGTAACCACTGTAGATTATCAAATTGCAAGTATTGTAATTCTAGACATAATACTCTATTGCATAAAGATAATTTCCATAAAGACCCATCTTCTTCTAATGTAGCACTTTCGACAAATATCAGTTCATCTTGTAACACTGCTTACGTCATATTATCTACAGCGTTGGTACGTGTAAAAGACAAAGACGGAAAACAACACACAGCCAGACTTCTGCTTGACAATGGAAGCACTTGTAATTTTATTACGGAAGATATGTGTAATAGGCTTGGTTTGGTAAGATATAACACTGATTCCACTATCTCTACGATTAATAACCAAGTCACACGGGCCACCCAAATATGCGAACTAATTTTTGAGTCATACTTTAGTGATTATAAAGCAAATATTACTTGTTATATCCTGCCAAAAATTTCACACACCCAACCCAATTCGTACGTAAACATTAAGCATATACCAATTCCTTCAGAAATAAAATTAGCTGACCCTAAATTCCACCTACCTTCTTCTATTGACATTTTAGTGGGTGCAGAAATATTTTGGGCAGTCTTAAATGCAGAAAACCGCAATATTGGTCCAACATATCCAAAATTACATTCCTCAAAACTAGGATGGCTTGTATCTGGATGCATATATGCTAATAACGTTCAAACTCGTAATGTATGTCATCATACATTGAACAATAACGAAGAATTTACTCTTGCAAATTTTGGGAGTTAGACTCAATTTCATCTCAGTACTCATATTCTCAGGAAGAAAAAGATTGTGAAGAAATATTTAATAACACTACATATCGTACTTCGTCTTAGTAGGTCTTCGAGCGTAGGTTTGAACGAGACTCTCAATACAAGAAAAATTATGACGAATTTATTAGAGAATATATTAATCTAGGTCACATGACCCAAAACTTACCTAATTCACATTCCACAAATAAATATAATTTTTACTTGCCACACCACGGTATTATACGAGAGTCGAGTACAACAACAAAGTTGCGCGTTGTGTTTGATGCATCCGCTGCCACGACAGCTGGTAAGAGTTTCAACGATATACAAATGGTGGGTCCAAAAACACAAGATGATCTTATGTCTATATTATTACGATTTCGTCAACATAAATACGCTATTACTGGAGATGTAGAAAAAATGTATAGATCTATTTTATTGCACAAATCACAACGCACCTTACAACAAATCATATTTAGATTTAACACTAACGAATCTCTCAAAACATATACTCTTAATACAGTTACCTACGGAACCTCATCGGCCCCTTATTTAGCCACTAAATGTTTAGTGTCCCTCGCTAAAGATACTCCTAACCTGTTAGTACAGTATGCCATTAAACATGATTTTTATATGGATGACTATTTGGGTGGCGGGGACTCTATTGAGTCCGTTATCGCTTTGGTCAAAGAAATAAAGAATGTACTAGAGTCCGCGAAATTGCACTTGCGAAAATGGCAATCAAATAGCCAAACAATTATAAACAATATAACGAATGATGAAAAAAGTGAACAACATAAAACCCTTAATCTTGATCCTTCTCCTTCAAAAACATTAGGTTTATTCTGGGACACCTTTCATGACACTTTTTATTTTTCAATTAACCACACCTTTACACATAAATACACAAAACGTAATATTTTATCTTTCATAAGTCAAGTTTTCGATCCTTTGGGTCTGGTTGGACCGTGTATTTTACAAGCCAAAAATATATTACAACAACTGTGGGTACATAAATGTGGCTGGGATGATGAGGCTCCGTCGCAAATTGTATTGGAATTTAATAACTTTGTTAACTCTCTTTCTCACATAAACACCATACATATACCACGCTGGATAGCGCAAGATGATCTTCGGGAAATGCAGTTACATGTATTTACCGATGCTTCAGAACGTGCATATGGCGCATGCGTTTATGTAAGAACGATCTCAATTGACGGATTAGTGCAAGTTCGTCTTTTAACATCAAAAAATAAGGTGTCGCCTATAAAGACTATAACAATACCTCGCTTGGAGCTATGCGGCGCTTTACTAGGCACAAGGCTCTATAAAAAAGTGATAGAGTCTTTAACTATGAAGTTCAATAGTTGCTTTTTTTGGTGTGATTCGACAATTGTTTTGGGTTGGCTTTCCACAGAGTCAAGTTCTCTTAAGCAATTTGTACGAAATAGAGTTAATGAGATACTAGAAATTACAAAGGGACACACCTGGGATTATGTGCCATCTAAGCTGAACCCTGCTGATCTGGCTTCTCGTGGGGTGAATGCTGACTTCCTCAGCGCTTCCGCACTTTGGTGGAAGGGCCCAGAATTTTTAAATAATTTGATTTTAAAAATTCCATCATCTCCAAACATACATACAATAACACTTCCAGAGCTTACACTTCATATTGATATACAACAACAAAATAATATCAATTCACTACATCAATTAATTTATGGTTTATCAAATTATAAAAAACTAGTAAGAGTATTTGCATACGTTCAACGTTTCATTTTTAATTGCAAAAATAAGACATCTAAACATAATAACTTCCTTACTTTATCAGAATTACGATCATCACAACAACATCTTCTTAGTTATTCTCAACAGGAAATGTTTCCTGATGAATACGCCATACTTAAAGCATCTAAACCAGTACCTAAGAGTAGCAGACTCAAATCACTTACTCCCTTCCTCGATTCAGATAATCTTATAAGAGTAGGTGGTAGACTTAGTAATTCATGTTACACGTATGATATTAAGCACCCGGTGGTGTTGTGTTCAAAACATCATTTAACTAAACTTATTTTTGAAGCTAAACACAAAGATTTTTTCATGCTGGCCCTCAACTAATCTTATCTAACGTTAGACAGAATTTTTGGCCTCTGGGTGGAAGAAATTTATCAAAATCAATAGTTCGTGCTTGTATTCGTTGTAAAAGGTTTAATGCTAAATCAGTACAACCCATTATGGGTCACTTACCAGCTGAAAGAACGTGTCTCGAATTTCCTTTCCTCAACACAGGTGTCGACTTTTGTGGGCCTATCCTGATAGCTGACCGCAAGGGACGCGGTTGTCGATTACAAAAGGCCTATATTTGCGTTTTTATCTGTTTCGCAGTCAAAGCCGTGCACCTGGAGCTTGTTACGGATCTTACCAAGGAGGCGTTTTTAGCGGCACTCAATCGTTTTATATCGCGGAGGGGTAAGCCTCAAAACATGTATTCCGACAATGGCACAACCTTCGTAGGAGCCAGCAACGAACTTACTCGATTCCTAAAGGCGAATAATATCTACATACAGGCCAATTTAGCAGAAATTAATATTAACTTTAACTTCATACCAGCATATTCTCCCCATTTTGGCGGTATTTGGGAGGCGGCCGTCAAATCGGTAAAAACTCTTTTACGTCGCGTTTTAAACTTAACACATCTAGTTTATGAAGAACTTTCCACCTGTTTGTTTCAGATAGAGGCAATTCTGAATTCTAGACCTCTCACACCTTTATCCACAGATCCTTCCGACCTTACCTTTTTGTCGCCAGCCCATTTCCTCATTGGACGGTCACTCATGTCAGTACCATATCCTTCACTTGAAGATGCTAATATTAATCGCATTCAACGATTTCAGAGAATTGAAAAGCTTAGACAGCATTTTTGGAGGCGATATTCACAGGAATATATATTTCAACTACAGCAGAAAACTAAATGGCATGCTTCATCTGGCGAACTGAAGATAGGTGATCTGGTTTTGGTCAGGGACCAAAATGCACCGCCTCTGCTATGGCTCTTGGGACGGATCACAAAACTATCAAGGGGCAGTGACGGAGTATCCAGAGTTGCTGAAATACGAACAAAGAAGGGACTTATTGTTCGAAGTTTTAACAACCTCTGTCCCCTTCCACTCAATCAGTCTTGAAGACTACGCTTCAACGCCGGGGAGTATGTTCGCGACGTCTTGTTAAGAACAGAGGAAGACCTCGCACCGTGCGTGCGCCCGCACATTTGAGACGTCCTATGCCTTGAACGTCGCTTTGACCGCTGGCGAGATCTGCGTGAGCTCCGGGGGCGTCACTCAATATCGAACACTGGCGTAAACGAACGTTTCCCGTACCTTCTATTATTCTTTGCCTCAATACGTTAATTTCTACATATTATGTAAATTGGAATCGAATAAACCTATAAGTACTACAGTCTACTCGTGTATCAATCAACAACACACGTCTAGGTATCCGAGTACTCTTGACCCTCCCCTCTTCGAGCAATTTGCTCACATGGTCAATTATAATAATTGTTTTCAAATTACCTCATTTGGAGCTAAAAAGAAAATACAGGTTGATTTAATGGCTACATTCAAAGTGCTGGGCCAGGTGGATCATTTGGTTGGAAGTTTGCTTCCGCCACCCCAGAATGAACTACAGTTCTTACAGATATATTTTGTTGGTAAGGACGATAGAGAAGTTAAATTGAGATGCAATAACCTTCTTTATGTAAAACCTGGCTTGGTAAGGCAATTACAAGAAATGCTACATACTCCTAATGTATACGCAAGAGAGTTAAAGCTAGTCCTGGACAAAGTATCTACGTCAAGGACATTTAAAGTTGTTATAAATGCTAAAACAAAGTCTATAAATGCCCACAGTTAACGGTATAATCAACCTACGTCAAATGAATTTGCTTTAGTTATTGTTGGACAGCAATTTGCTATATTTTCGTTCGCTGATTAGCCAGTTTTTAGTTGACGTGTTTGCGAAAATAGAGACGGAAAGGTTGAGTTATATTAGGAACAATCAGGCGCAGCTTAGAGCGGAAAGTTATATACACTTGCAAGATGCGATAGGGAGACAGGACGTTAATGCTGATCAGCTGGGACAAAAGGTGGTGCTGCGTTTTTCTATTACTGGGGGGCCACGCTATATGCATGAGCGGACACAAGACGTCATGACGTATGTGCGCTACTACGGTCGTCCCGATCTCTTTATAACATTCACTTGCAATCCTCGATGGCATGAAATCACGGAGATACTTTTGCCTGGGTAAAAAAGTTATGATAGACACAACGAGCCAGGGTTTTTCATCTCAAAATTAAGAAAATAATGGCACTTCTAACCAAAGGAAAAATATTTGGAGAGGTAAGTTGTTTCATGTTCTCTACTGAATGGCAGAAACGGGCTCTGCCTCACATACACATATTGTTATGGATGGTTTACCGCAATTCGCCTGACATGGTGAATGAACTTACTCGTGTATGTGCTGAGATACCAAATCCAAATAAAGATCCTATTTTATACGACATAATTAAAAACAATATGACACACGGTCCATGTGGGAACCTTAATAATAATTCTCCCTGCATGAAAGATAACAAATGTAGCAAAAAATATCCCAGACAATTTTTGAGAGATACTCGTACACAGACAGGTGACGATAGTTACCCACAGTACAGAAGACGATTTCCGGCTGACGGTGGCTTTACACTTAAATTAAAAGACGTTGAAGTAGACAATAGGTGGGTGGTCCACTATAATAAGGTTCTGTTACGGGCATTTAAGACACATATTAATCTAGAATTTTGCAATTCAGTTAAACCGACAGAGTACATTTGTAAGTACATTAATAAGGGCAGTGACCAGGCGGCTTTCGTGCTAGAAAACAAAAAGGATGAAGTCAAATTATATGAAAGTGGTTATTTGAGTAGTTTGGAGGCAGTTTGGAGGGTTAGGGTTTTCCATACATGAAACATTTCCCGCAGTCATACAATTAGCTGTCCACCTTGAAAATGGTCAATGAGTCTATTTTAATTCCGACAACATCACCGACACTGTTAATAGCCCACCAAAAACGACACTGTTAGCATTTTTTATTTATGTCAAACAGGTTATTTTGTTAAAACCCTATTCCATATCCTATATGCGGAAGCGCCTTAATATTTTGTATGGCAAAAAAGATGAAACCCCGTAGATGGCTGGCCAGGAATAATGAAAGAACACGCTCTAGGTAGAATGTACACCTTTCACCTGAATAATACAATCTTACCATCTTCGCTTACTTCTGCACGAGGTTAGGGATCCATCATCATTCGATGACTTGAAGACTGTTCTAAAGGAAGCAACCTCATACGAGTCGCCATTTAAAATGCGTGAACTTTTTCCTATAAAATACAGTGATGGCCTATCAGAAGACTACAAACGATAAGTGGAAACGCTTTCTGTCATTATGGATAAACATCTAGCAGATGAAATCTACAATAAATGTCTGGTCACAATAGAAGAAGCTGTATTATCTTTAGGAGGAAAAAGCCTACAACAGTACGGGTTGCCTCAGGCGCAAAGGTCTGGAGGCTGACACAACAAATCCAGACTACGTGAAGGAAACAAGTTACGATGTCAATTCCTTAGCAGAACTGGTGTCAAGTAGTAAAGGCTCTCTAACCAATGAACAAAGACATATCTTTTATAAAATACTTCCAGAATCAGTTTTATATAGTGTTCAGTGATATTTGTTTTTGGATGCTCCTGGTGGAACTGGCAAGACTTTTCTATTAAATTTACTGTCGGCCAAAGTGAAAAGCAATCGTGATATCGCCTTAGTGGTCGCATCGTCTGGAATCGCTGCCGCTCTGCTGGAAGGAGGTAAAACTGCACACTCCGCGTTTAAACTTCCTCTCGATTTGATACAACTCTGCAATATAGCCAAACAAAGTAATATGGCAGAAGTACTCCGCAAAATGAAATTAATTGTTTGGGATAAATATATCTTCACAAGATATTAGGAATAATAATTGTCAAATAGGAGGAGTTACTGCATTGTTAGCAGGCGATTTCCGGCAGAATTTATCAGTAGAGACCAGAGGAACGCGAAGTTAAAGCGTGCATGAGGCGGTCTCATTTGTGGTCTTCTGTGACACTTTTTACGTGGTAGAGCCATGCTGCAGCTATATTTGTAGTATAGTTGTAGCACGAATGGATCGGCTCAACCGAGGAAAGACCACACTCTCACAGAATACCAGCGTAAAATAGCAGCTTAATGCTGCTATGTTTCGTATGGTGAGTGTAGAGAACCGGAGACCCTTTTTACTGGAAAACAAGGCATTCTATCTTAGTCCTCACGGCTGACAACGCATCTGGATTTTAATTCACAAACAAAGATAAATGTAGATGTCTATGTGCCACAGCACTTACCATCAGGTGGACTGTGTGCTCGTTTATTATTCTATAAAAAAAAACTGAGCCTTACCAAAAATATGAGAGTCCATCTTAGAGGAGATGTTACTGCCGGACAGTTCTCAGACCAGTTGCTTAAAATAGGAAACGGTGGTTTCGCGGATCTGGATAATAATATAATTCTCCCTACAGAGTTTGGTACAATTGTTTCCACTGTAGAAGAGCCTATAGTTAAAATTTACCCAAATCTTAATAATATTCACGATAAACCTACAGAGTGGTTATGCGAGTGTGCCATTCTAACACCAAAAAAGGAAGAAGCCTCAGCCATAAATGAAATACTTTTGAGATCATTCGAAGGGGTAAAATATCAATATAAATCCGTTGACTCAGTGATAAACACCAATGATGCCATTCATTATCCGGTCGAGTTCCTGAATACACTGAAGCCCCCGGTCATCCAACTCACATATTAAAATTGAGAGCTGGCGCGCCAATTATGTGGCTGCGCAATATAAATCCACCAAAATTTTGCAATGGTACCAGATTGCAAGTGAAAACATTGCATCGCAATGTAATCGAGGCAACTATACTGACAGGTTGTTCTCGAGGAGAGACTGTATTTATTGTTAGGATTCCCTTAACACCATCCAATTCCTCAAAACCCTTCGAATTCAACAGAGTGCAGTTTCCTATTAAAGTCTGCTTCGCCTTGTTTTTCGCTTCTTTTTCGCTTTGGTAGCAGGAGTAGACTTGAGATAAAGCCGCTTCTCCCACGGTCAGTTGTATGTGGCATGCTCCAGAGTAAGCGCACAGAGTAGTCAGTAGATTTCAGCACCCGAAGGAAAAAAACAAATATATTGTTTACAAAGAAATACTGTGGTAGGTGTACTATTTCGATTTCGTTGTAAAAGATAATACCCCCGTGTCACTTTCACCAGACCAAAAGCCGTGCTGTGTTCATAAAATATATGTATAACAAAATTTTATTTTATTTTCATGTTCATTTAACCTTTAAATCCCTACACTATAATAAAGATTGTTATATTTTATAAGTATTCAAACATTTTAACATTATAATTCATAATATGTTATAAGAAATTTAATAACGTAAAAAACCAATTAAAATTCCATTTAGGACCATTTTCTTCTACGTGGACGAAGTCGCGGGCAATAGCTGGTAGAATATATAAATTCAAAGTAAGTAATTAATAAAACTTGATATCGAATCTAGTACACAATCGTAAGGTGGCTTAAATTGAAATTTGATTTCGATCGAGTATGTCATGTGTCCGATAGTAAGCTGAAGTGGCAATGGGTCGGCCATATAGTTCGAATAATCGATAACCGATGAGGAAGAAAGGTTCTCGAGTGGCAGCCTCGTACCGGAGGCGAAGTATAGGGTGTAGGGTCCCACTATATGGATGGAGACCACACCCATAAGACATACAGGAAGTCGATGATTGCAGGTGGTGCAGGACCGTGCTTTTTGGCATTTCTTGGGGGACGCTTATGTTCAGCAGTGGACTTGTGAAGGTGTGTAATAATGTGTGTCCTGTTATATTAAACATATTTGAAGCGTAAGTATCTATTAAGAATCGTAAGTACCTATTAATAATGTGATATAATCAGCCGGATGTCTCCAATGGCGCTGATAGTGCTTGATCGATCGAATTTGATTTTCAATTAAAATTGATAATGGAGTAAGCTTTTTAAGTTAATTTCGAAACAAAAGTGATGTGAAATTACTTTTGAG